GCCCAGAGCCACGGCCGCGGCTCCGGCCCCCGTCTGAGGGCTGCGGGGTTCGGCCCGGCAGAGCTCCGGCGGCGGTGGCCTCGGCTTCTCCCCAGGGCCGGATGTTGGACAGAGGGGTCCCCTTGTATCAGGCAGCGACTCCGCTGCTCCTGCCGCCTCCCGTTCTAACCGGTTCCCGGGGAAGAGCGCGAGGTCCGCGCCGCGGCCGTCGCTGCTACCTACGCGCAGAAGCCGGCCCTGGCCTGGCCGCTCGGACGGTGACGAGGTTGGCTCCCGGCAGGGGTCACCGGGCCCTGCTACTTCAGGATGAGCTGCCTGCCGGTCCCCCGAGAATGTGCAGCCCCACCTAGACCTACGGAATCCGGGACGTTTGCGGGCGGGATCCTGAAAATCGCCCGACAGACGCTCGCGGTGGTCTGAGGGACGCTCTGCGTCTTTATTTTAGCGAGCCATACAGCGACACGTCTTCCTGTGAGGCGCTGAAAATTTAAAATGCGCTCTGCCCCAGGCCACAGTGAAGAGTCAGACTCAGAAGGAAGCGGTCTGCCCCAGTGCGGATTTTTATCACGCCTCTAGTTCTGCACTGTGGCTTTTTCACCCTGAGGACTCCGCTCTTCCCAGGGACGTTAGGAAAAAATGCGTTTGTCACGTATGGCTTTAAGATAACTGAAATTGAGCTCAACGATGGGTTTTGAGTGTCTACCGAGAGCAAAGGTCTTTGAGTTATAGTATCCCTGTCGGGTATTTTCTTTAGTTTACGTCTAAAAAATGAAAGAAGTCTTGCTTTCTTGTGACTTAAATTTTTTCAAACTAAAAAAACTACCAGAAATTGCTGTTTTCTCTTCAGTGGTCACTGTAATAGCAGAATGTGCTGTATGCTTTAAGACTTCTTAGAAGAAAATCCAACTCAACACCTGATGTAGACATGTCAAAGAAACTTTAATTTGATGCCCCCGTCCCCGTGTAAAGATGAATTGAATTTACGAAATACTGATAGTTCGTGAATGTAAATGGTTTGTCTAGCGTGCTCACTGTATTTTTTCCTAATTTTCTTTGTTTGAAATGTTTTCTATAAAACGCTTCATAAATGGCCTTACACGGGTAACTTTAGAATAATATATAACACATAAAGGAGCAGAGTATGTATTTCAATTTCGTAAAGAAAAAATAATAGACCATACGTAAAAACATAGCCATAATCACAGGAAAAAATCTAAAGAAAAAACAGAAGAACAGGAAAAGTAAATTCTGTAAACTGGTTGTAAGAGAAAAGAGTTGACTCAAAAAAAAAAAAAAAGAGTTGGCTCTTCTTGAAATTACAGTTAGTTATGATCCTTATGCCACCACTATTTGTAACTAAAAACTATTTAGTAAAAAGAATTCTTCATCTTCAGTCCACCGAATCACAAATAATCTTACCAGTGCATTTTTCAAAACTTTAATAAGCAACATATTGATTGTAAGTTTTAGGGTTCTTAGGCACTTAGAGTATCACACTCATTGCTGTCAGGAAAAATAAGAAACAAAAAAAAAAATTCCAAATCACATTCTGTCATTAAAAGATAAGATAATACAGTGCTAAGAACAAACACTTCACTTACCAAGACAGCTATTCTGAAGTTGGTCTGGTTCTAAATGAATGATTTTCCATCTAGAGGAAGTTATCTATTAAAAATAGGCTTTTATCCAGTAGACCTGTAAACAACAAACCATCACTCACAAAGCCTTAAAAAGTTCAAATAGTGCTCAGGGAGCAAGGAGTTTGTGTATCCATGGAAATGTGTCTCAGAGGAATACTCCAGGGCCACAAAGCCTCAATGGCAGGGGCAACACCTCACACACTCGCCTCAGCCTTTTGAGCTCCTCTAGCCAACCCACAACCTGGGTGGCAAACTAAAGTTGACCGTAAAAGCCAGCTGCAGACAAGTCTGTTTGCAAATACAGTATTTGCCATGAGGCTTAGATCTAGTGATAGTCAACCTTCTATGTTCATTCCTGTGTCCCTGGATAGGATTGCTGGCCTCAGCACTTGGCTTCTATTGGTCAACAAGAAACTGGAACATATTTTACAATAATGCAGCTGAAGCTTGGGAAGAGATAGAAATCAGGAACTGGAGTATTGACAGGAACCCAGGAAGTGTCCCTCTGTTTATCCTGTACTGCTTATTCTAGGTCCTGTGGTCCAGCTTCTCTCCCTTCAGTTCACATAGTAAAAAAACAACCACTTGAGAGCTCTCAAGTTTATATCTCTTCCACAAAGTAGCAGGATACTACCAATCATGGTTTGGGGGATATTTTGCAAGGGAGAACAGTATAATACAGGACACATATTTTATAAGATTATTTATAATAGTCACCCATAGAATCATATACAAGGGAGTGCAGGAAATCGGTCCACACACTATAGACCAGGAATCCAGCTGGGGGCCTGGATTCCATGATAATGTCCTACATGAGTCCCGCTGAAGATCTAGAGCCCATAACAGTGCCTCCCATGAATCCAACTGGAGGCCTAGAGCCCATAACAATATCTCATGCAGGTCTGTTTCACGCATCTGCGCTAGGAAGGCCCAAAGGTCAGTGGTGGAATCTAGGAAGTCTGTGCCAGTGGGATGAAGGATCTGTGCTAGCAGGTTCAGGGATCTGCACTGGAGCCAGAAAGCAATGCTCAGAAGAACTATAGAGGTCCCCTGAAAGGTACCACAGCCACCTTCAGCAACGGTGGGGTCCCAGGCTCCTCCCATGATCAAGATGGCCGAGTTCCCATCAGGGAAGCCAATGCAGCAATCTTTTCCAGGAGGCTGGCAGTGCTCCATCTTCCCCGCTGGAGCCAGGAAGCGATGCTCAAAGTGAGGACCAGAGCTCCCCCAAAGTGAACCAAAGCTATTCTCAGTGCCAGTAAGGGCCCGAGCTCCTTGGAGGATGAAAACAGCCAGTTCATCAGGAAAGCCAGCATGACAAGATCCTCCAACAGAACCAACAGCTCCTTACAGCTTCGACCAGCTTCCAACAGTCTTTCTGAGCTCCCAACAGCCTCTCTCAGCTCCCAATAGTCTAACTCAGCTCCCAACAGCCTCACTACTTCTTTTCCAGTTCTGCCTCTTATGCTGCTTGCAAGTCCCCAGGTGGGCCCCCCCCACACCCAGCACCACGTTTACTCAATTCAGCTCAGGTTATAAGCTGACCACCAGTTGTCAATCCACTACACTATGCATATCCATTAATCCTCTGTCTAGTTGAATCCCTGTTCCCTGATTCCTCCTGGCCACTTGAACCAATACTAATTTCAAGACCCATGTCCAATTCCTTTTGTTTTTACAAAAGCACCTCGTCCTTCCTGGACACAGAAGGTCCCTATATAAGTATTTTGACAAATATTTTGATACAGCATAAGCCGTATGATGTCTTTTAGCCTGTATGTTGCTTGC